AGGTTCATGTCCCAGCTACTCCTCTTCTGATCCAGCTCTCTGAAGCCACGTGGGAGACCTGTAAGAAGCTCCTGGTTCCTGTCCCATCCAGCTCCCTGTTAATGTGCTTGGGAAAGCAGTAGAAGATGGCCCAAGTCCTTGGGCCCCTGCACCCACGTGGGAGACCTGGAAGACGTTCCTGGCTTCAAATTGGCCCAGCTCTGGCTGTTATTGTCATTTGGGAATGAACCAGCAGATAGAAGACCCCCCTCTCTCTCCAAATCTGCCTTTCAAATAAAAAAGTAAGTTAAAAAATGAAACGAGATAAAGATAAAGAGCTGGTGTGGAGTGAAAGGAAGATTTTGTTCACATCCAGCGTCCACGAGGACTGGACATGCACGGGTCAGTGTGAGACCCTATCTGTGGGCTCCTCCCACGTGGCCCGCGCCCTGTCGGCTTGGTGGGGCGATAGCTTTATTCACGAACAGGCACACCTTTTAAAGGGCAGGCAGAGGGGGCGTAGCTAGTTCAGGGCAACACTAATTCTATAGGATGAAGCTGATATTGGCGCCGCTATGTTTCTCTAATCAGCTTGAAGGTCACATACGCTAGTAGCTTTCCAGGTGGACCTGAACCACACCTGGGAGCAGTTTATCTGATTCCCGGGGCGGGGAATGTGCCTGGGGCTGCCACCTCCTGGCAGCAGTCGGGTTGTGGGGTCCTTCCCAGGAGGCATAGCGCGCCATGGCCTCTCAACCTCCTGCATGGACAGGGACAGGATCACCCACACCTATCAATCTCTGACTCACCTTCCGGTCAAACGTGAGTTGAAATCTACATAATGCCTTCATTTAGATTTTGTGTTTTTGTTGGGGGCAGATGGTACAAAAGAGAGCGAGACACAAAGTGGAAAGAGTCATTGAAAAGCAAACATTCTAGAATTATCTGTTGAACACATATGAGTATGGGGGGTGGGGCTCCAGAAAGTTCGTGGAGAGTGCACATGACGAAGAAACTGCATGCATTTCCAATTATTTCTTGCACACTAAAACTTACTTTAAAATTCCACTTACAATGTATCTGCTTATTTATTTTGCATTTATTTGAGAAGCAGAGAAAGAGACAGAGTGAGAGAAAGAGAGAGAGAGAGAGAGAGAGAGAGAGATCTCCTATTCGCCGGTTCACTGTCCAAATGCCTGCAATAGCTGGGGTTAGGCTCAGTCCAGGTCTGCGAGACATCACCACTGCTTCCCACCGTGCACATCAGCAGGAAGCCGATCTGGAATTTGAAGCCGGGCACTCTGATACCGGGAGCAGACACCCCAAGTGGCACCTTAACTGCTCCGTCAAACGCCCGCACTTAATTCCATTTTTCCACAGATGTGTGAAAATACCCTGGTACTGGTAGGGGTGGTGACATGAAGTTATCATGATATGATAAATAGGAACGATTTTTGTGTAGTGAATGAAGACACTATGCGCTCACCCAAGGCCAATTATCTAGCACTAGGGACAGAGCTGGGATAGAGACAGATTCTATCATTTAGGGTGGCCCCACTGGGAGGTGACAAGTCTGCTGGCACCTGGAGGAGGTCTTTAATCGATTTTCCCTCTCTTGTACTGCTTTGCAACATTTTCTTAGTTTTCAGTTTCCTTTCTCGCTTAGAAATTGCTTTAATTTGGTTTCTAAAATCAAAGCTATAAACTCAGAGTTTAGAGAGTCCGGCAGCTCTGACAGCTGGTGGTAAACAGCAGCACCTCTGCTTCCCAGCTCCCTCTGCCATCTCCTATCCCTAAGCGCTTTTCATCTCAATGCATTCTTTCCACATTGAACTCATGTATCTGAAATAGCGTGACTGTATTACTATGTCCTAGCATTGTAGACTTCAGCACTAATTATCATCTCTACAGAAGAAAAGGGTTTCTCTCTCTCTCTCTCTCTCTCTCTCTGTCACACACACACACACACACACACACACGCACACACACCTTATCATCATTCTTTTATATAAAGATTACTATTCAGCCGGCACTGTGGCATAGCGAGTAAAGCTGCAGCCTGCAGTGCCGGCATCCCATATGAGCGCCAGTTCGAGTCCCGGCTACTCCTCTTCTGATACAGCTCTCTGCTATGGCCTGGGAAAGCAGTAGAAGATGGCCCAAGTCCTTGGGCCCCTGCACCCACATGGGAGACCTGGAAGAAGCTCCTGACTGCTGCTTCCAATCAGCTCAGCTCCAGCTGTTGCAGCCATTTGGGGAGTGAAAGAGGATAGAAGACCTCTCTCTCTCTTTCTTTCTTTCTCTTTTTTTATTTGACAGATAGAGTTAGACAGTGAGGAAGACAGAGAGAAAGGTCTGCCGTTAATTCATCCCCCAGATGGCCGCTACGGCCAGAGCTACACCAATCCAAAGCCAGGAGCCAGAAGCCAGGTGCTTCTTCCCGGTCTCCCACGTGGGTGCAGGTGCCCAAGCACTTGAGCCATCCTCCACTGCTATCCCAGGCCACAGCAGAGAGCTGGACTGGAAGAGGAGCAACTGGGACTAGAACCTGGCGCCCATATGGGATGCCGGTGCTACAGGAGGAAGATTAACCAAGTGAGCCATGGCACCAGCCCCTCTCTTTCTGTCTCTACCTCTCTCTGTAACTCTGTCTTTCAAGTAAATAAAATAAATCTTTAAAAAAAAAAAGCCAAAAACGTATTATTAAACTCTCACTTTCAGTTGGTAGTTTGGCTGGGTATATAATTCTACCATTGGAATATCTTTTTATTCAACTGTTGAAACATTTCTCCATTTTCTTCCACCATATTTTTGTTGAGAATTCCAATACCATTCTGATTATTTTTAAAAATGTTTACTTATTTATTTTATTTTGAAGGTAGAGGGAGGGAGGATGTGGGGGGGGGTGTTGTTCATTCACTGTTTTGCTTCTCAAGTGCCCACAACTCAAGGTGGGTTTAAAGCAAAGCCAGAAGCCTGAAACTCCATCCAGATCTCCCATATGGGTGGCAGAGGCCCAAGAACTTTAGCCATCACCTCCCAGGGTTCATGAGTATTTATTCAGGGGCTTCTTTTTGCCAGATTCTCCCTAGTCACTAGGAGCAATGGCAATGACTGGAGTTTGGTCCTAGCCTCCTTGAAATTTGGCAAAGTGGAAGAGACAGGCATATTGTTAGAATGACTCCATTTCAATTAAACTGTGATGAGTGTTTTGGTAGAAAAGGACCAAAGACTCGTAGGAACTCAGATGAGGTTGTGGTTAATTCTGTCTGTGAGAATTGTAGAAACTTCTTGGAACCTTTAAGAGTTCTAGAGCAGGGGCCAGTGCTGTGGCACAGTGAGTTAAAGCCCTGACCTGAAGTGCTATCATCCCATATGGGTGCGGGTTCCAGTCCCGGCTGCTCCTCTTCTGATCCAGCTCTCTGCTATGGCCTGGGAAAGCAGTAGAAGATGGCCCAAGTCCTTGGGCCCCTGCACCCACATGGGAGACCCGGAAGAAGCTCCTGACTCCTGGCCTTGGATCGGCGCAGTGCAGTGAACCAGCAGATGGAAGACCTCTCTCTCTGCCTCTGCCTCTCTGTAACTCTGGCTTTCAAATAAATAAAGAAATCTTAAAAAAAAAATAAAAGAGTTCTAGAGCAATGGTATCCCATAGAATTTTCTGGAACAACAAAACTTTTCTCTATTTGTGCTTGCTGTCCAGTGTGGTAGCCACATGTGGCTATTGATCACTTGGAATGGGGCTAGAATGATTGAGAATTTTTAGTTAATTGACATGTAAATACTCCCATGTGGCTGAAGGCTACTGTATTGGACAGCACAGCTGTAGAAAGTAGTGGGCATGACATGATCAGGGGTGAGTTGCATGTGGAATGGAATGCCTTTTTCCTTGAAAGTTCTATTTTCCTTCTGTCAAGAACAGGCAGAATTAGACAGTGAGAGAGAGAGAGACAGAGAGACAGGTCTTCCTTCCGTTGGTTCACCCCCACCCCCATCCGAAGCCAGGAGCCAGGTGCTTCCTCCTGGTCTCCCATGCGTGTGCAGGGCCCAAGCACTTGGGCCATCTTCCACTGTACTCCCAGGCCACAGCAGAGAGAGCTGGACCGGAAGAGGAGCAACCAGGACAGAATCTGGTGCCCCAACCAGGACTAGAACCCGGGCTGCCAGCGCTGCAGGCAGAGGATTAGCCTAGTGAGCCCGGCACTGGCCCTGTCAAGAAGTTGGGAAAACAGTCGGCTGCTCTCCCAGTAGTGCTATATCTCCAGTGACAGTTCCAGGGCCACATGAGAGCTTGGGATGCACACACTGATAAGAAATGTAAGACATCTAAAGTAGAACACCATTTCCTCTTCTCGTCTGGTCTTTGTTGAAATCTCACCTCCTCTGGCCATAGTGTCTGGTCTTGGCCGTCTTGGGGAGCAGGAAGACAACATAAACGCAGTGGCAGCCTGCCCACCAGGGGCAGCCCAAACATCACAGGTCTCCCACCTGCTGGCCTGGGTATTGAGCTGGGTCTGAGCACCTACACCAGAGCCGATTGCTGTGCTCCGCAGACACACCCAGCCCTGCTCCCCACTGCCTTGTACCTGTTGACTCTGGCTTTGCCATACGCCACCCCATCTCCCACTGCTTCGTGGCGCACACCTTGCCTCCAGCGGGCAGGTGAGATCACGGGGTCACCTTCCATCCCCTTGCAACACTCTCCTCGCCCCCATCACACTGGGACCCCAGCTTGCTCCAGCCCACGTCTCTGGGATGTCTTTCTCTTCCCTCCTCACATCTGAAGAGTGGGGGTGTTGCCCAATATGGTCTCCTAGGGTAGACAGGCAAAATGTTTGTCATTTTGTCTTTTTTTTAATCTCACCATTAAAAATTATCTCTTTTTTTTGACAGGCAGAGTGGACAGTGAGAGAGAGAGACAGAGAGAAAGGTCTTCCTTTGCCGTTGGTTCACCCTCCAATGGCAGCCGCGGCCAGCGCACTGCAGCCGGCCACCATGGCCAGCACGCATGTTAATAAAAACATTGTTAATAAAAACATTTATTTTGTATTTTATACAGAATGACCTCAAGTCCGCATCATCATTTGACAGTCACCCAGGGGTTTACAGTGTGTCCATCTAACAGCGTGGCTCTGGGGCTCGGGGGTCCACACAAACACAGGCAGGAGTCTCGAGGGAAGGGGGCACGGTAGGAGTGTATCTCAATCCTTTCTTAAAGAAAAGGCAGTAGAGCATTCTGAGTCACTGAAAACCTGTACCGATGGGGCTTCTAAAATACACACTCTCCTGTGAGCGCTTGGGAAGGGGCAGGGAAAGGACACTGATAAATAAGGGAGTGTTTCCCCGTGGCAGGGGAGGAGGAGGGAGCCTGACCATTTGTAATGCCCCCAGCCTCAGGACCTGATACACAAAGGCAGCTATGTCCAATCTTGGATCATTTCCCTGTTCAGAGATGCTTGTGCCCCGGGACAGACCATGAAGATAGCATGCGGTCATTCCTGAGCCCCTGCTCTAGGCCCCAGTGATTCAAAGTGGGGAGGCCAGGGGGAGTGGCTTCTGTCTTATGGAAGTAAAAGGTTTAGTTCACATTAAGCACTGATAAAAAAAACAAAATGGGGAAAACCACAGGTGAGACAGACCTGCTGAAGGAGGTCTTGAGTGGGGATCAAGATGGGGAGTTCACAGCATCCCCAGTTTGAGGTGCAACTGGTATAGAAAGTCTGGAAGGAGGCTGAGTAGTAACGTAGTGGGAAACAGAACACTCCCCTACCTTAATTTTAATGGTATAATTTTTAAAGAGAACTGAATTCAAAACACTGGGCACCAGTCACAACAAATGCCATGCCTTTGTGGTTACCCAATAGCATAAAAAATTGTCAAAGCATGTCCAGCTAACCAGCAGGTCTTGCTAGGACGGGTCTGTGTGCATGGGAGAAGGTCACAGGGCTTGGTACAGCTGAAAATCCAACATGATTCCTATGGAAACAGAAGGGGCAGAGTTCAGCATGGCGCTGATCCGATGGCAGGAGCCAGGTACTTATCCTGGTCTCCCATGGGGTGCAGGGCACAAGTACTTGGGCCATCCTCCACTGCACTCCCTGGCCACAGCAGAGAGCTGGCCTGGAAGAGGTGCAACTGGGACAGAATCCGGTGCCCCGACTGGGACTAGAACCCGGTGTGCCGGCGCCGCAAGGCAGAGGATTAGCCTAGTGAGCCACAGCACCGGCTAAAAATTATCTTGTTCTGCTGTATGTTTTAGTAGATTGATTGTCTATTATTATAGTAGCATAAGCATCCAGATAACTTGAGTACACATATCTAGGGTGTCTGCTAAAATGTTTGTATTGATGGGGGTGTGTCCCACCCATTTCCAAGGCCTACAGATGCCCCGCCCCGCTCCCCCAGGACCCCTTGAGCTACCCTGGCCAGCTGCTTTTCAGGGAGTTGACCTAGAACCCTTACAGACCGCCAGTGCCGCCCATGGAATCTCTCGCTGTACTTAGACTTGGCTCCTGAGCTCTCTGGGTTGTTTCCAGATGACAGATTCATGGTGGATGACCAAGTCCTGGAGGATCTGCCACCTGCTTTGTACCAAAGAATCTCTGAGAACAGAAAGGACAGATAATTACCAAACCAGGCTCATACTCTAAATAAGCCACACAGGCAAGGATGTGAAGTGACCTGCTTGGGGCCAGCACTCTGGCATAGCAGGTAAAGCCTCCTCCTGTGGTGCCGGTGTCCCATATGGGCGCTGGTTCGAGTCCCGGCTCCTCCACTTCTGATCCAGCTCCCTGCTAATGGCCTGGGAAAGCAGCAGAACATGGCCCAAGTGCTTGGGCCCCTGTGTCCACATGGGAGACCCAGAAGAAGCTCCTGTTCCTGGCTTCAGAGTGGCCCATTTGGGGAGTGAACCAGTGGATGAAAGATCTCTCTCTCTCTCCCTCTCTCTCTCTCTTTGCCTTCTGCCTCTCTGTAACTCCGCCTTTCAAATAAATAAATTAACCTTTAAAAAAATAAAAAGTGACTTGCTCAGGGTCACATGGGTGACAACCGTACCCACCCTGGTTCTAGATTTGCACCATAGCTTTGGACGGACGAGGCTCAGCACACATGGGATGGACTCTGACCTAGCTCCTTAAAACCACACCCAACGGGGGCTGGTTTCCTGCCTGCCTTCAGCCAGCCTCCTGTGAGGCCTGGGCCAAAGTCCACCCAGAGAGGAGGTGACAGCTGTTAACCTGACAAAAGGTAACAGCCAGGGTCACCACCTCTTAATGGCAGCCAGCCTATCAGTCTAATAATGTCTGACTCCAGTGTCGCAGCCATGCCCAGTAGAGGTTTGATTTTTTGTTGTTGTTGTTAATGATTCAGGTAGACTCTCACTTGAAGCCAAGACACACCTCTAGCAGCTGCCGGAAGTCTCTTCTCTTTCTTAGTAACAAGTAGAACCTTCACCTAAGCAACTTGGCCAACTTCCACATTCCACCGCACCCTACAACTGGAACCTGCGTGCCAAAAAGAAAGGTGCCAATCAAACGCAAATGATGAGCCCATTAAATAATGATTTTCATTCAAACCCAACAATGGAAACTGCACAGCCTTCCGTGCCCAATATACTTTGCTCTTCTTCATCGATTTTTTTTTCTGGCTGTGTATTTGTGATATTATGAGATCATTTTAGCTTTTTTTTTTTTTAAGTAAGTGACCAAAAAAAAAAATCGTGTTGCATGGAGTCTCCTGAGAATGTTGGGTCGGGTTTTTTGATCCCGGCGACTCAATGATTCACCGGCCGCTGTAGTACGAGAGTCCCTATTAGTGGCGTCTGTGCCTGCAGTAATGTTTTTGTTATTTTTCCTCGTTTGTTCACTCTGACATCATGTCATTACAGAATGGTGCTGTTCAGGCCCTGCCTTGGCTGTTCGTTAGCCTGTGTTTAATGAGCAGCTTAATTGAGCCGTCTAGTAGGCCACCTGTCGCCCTCCGCAACTTATTACCATACTAATGGCCTGACATTGTATTCCCTGACAGGCAACAGGGCTTACTGATTTGATGTCTGGACGTGGGGATTTTATGCAGGAATGAGAGCTGGCATGGGGAAGGAGGCTTAACAAACGCAAATTAACTCTTTGCTATCTATGTGTTTATGGCTGTCTTGTGAAAAAAAAAAAAAAAAAAAAAAAGTTCACGCCGTGGCAGGCCCGGAAAGCAGCAGCGTGGTCTTGGAAGAAGGCCGGCTCTGAGCCCGCACCCCCAAGTCGTGGCTGTCCCGGGCCAGGGGCTCCGCGGAAGCAGAGCCGGCTTTGTTTCCATTGCGGCGTTCCTGCCGGGAACCGATTCAAAGAGAAATCTGCAGCCGAGGAAAAGTTTGCCACGGGACTTTTCTGCGCTGTAGCTTAAACAAATGAGAGGCAGCGGCGCTCCAATGGCGGGAGCTGAGCGTGGGTCTGTTGTCCCCTCCTTGTAAATCCAGCTGGGGACTGGATTGCGAGCTGAGCGCCGGGGGAGGGCTCGGAGACGCGCTGTGTGGCTGAGGAGCGAGCGGGGTTTTGTTTGGGTTTTGCTTTTGTGCGTGTGTGTGTGTGTGTGTGTGGTTGGGTCTTTTCCCCACATCTCCCTTGAAGGCAGGAGGCTGGGGACCAAGGTCCTTCTGTCCCCGGGAACTCCCAGGGGGGTGAGCCCAGCCAGACTCAAGTCTAGAGAGACAGTAGAGAGAGAGAGAGAGAGAGAGAGAGAGGGCTCAGCAGGTGCAGGGATGTTTCTTCTCTGTCCCCTCACCTCAGGTTCCCAGGGTCAAGGAACAAGCCAACATGAGAAGTCTTCTGCAAGTCCGTGGAAAACGTCCAGTATGAAAACCCAACGTGTGCATTTCCATGTTTTCTTGCCCCAGATTAACTTCTCTGTGCATTCCACTTTGGCACGAACTCTCTGAAGTACCCTGACACATGACAGCGAGGGAAAGGCTTCCTCCTTGAACGGTCTGTTGGTGGAAGGTCATGACCAAGGTCGAGGCCGGGTCCCACCAGCAGCTCCAGGGATGGGTGGCAGCCCCTGGAGAAACAGTCCCAGCAGGGGCGGACTGCAGCTTCCTGCCAGCCAAGGGAGCTGCGGGAGACTGGAGACCATTCCCTGCCGCTGCCGCTGCCCGGAAACTGCATCCCGGAACTTGGCACGGAGAACCTGCAGCCGGCAGAAACTCTTAATGCAAGGCCACAAGTGGGCTCCCTCTTCCTGGGCTTGAAGCAGGGGCGACACTGTCCCTGCAAGGTCCAGCCTTGGGGGCGGGGAACAAGAGCAGAAACCCACCCACTGGCTCCACCCCTTTCATGTGATGACGCTGATGATGGTGACAGCTGATGCCAATGGCGTCAAGGGTTACGGCCTTTCTGTTTCTCTCTCTAGCTAAGCCTTTTATACTGGTGGTCTGATTTAAGTGTTCGACCCCAGGGTTCCGCAGCTCAGCACCACTCACCTGTTGGGACGGACCCGGAGCCTCCGCCCTAGGGGCTGCCAGGCGCACCCTCATCCCCATGTGCGCCTCCAGGCATGGCCAGGAGTGGGGAGGGTCTCCCCAAGTTCAGAAGCACCGCGGCCGGGGTAGGAAGGCCCTTCGAAAGGTTTGTGGAAAACAGAATTGAAAACCAAGTTTATTTGGGTGCAGAAATGTTTTAATCAGGGCCGGTGTGGTGGTAGAGCGAGCTAAGCTCCCATCTGGACTGCCTGCAGCCTCTGTCAGTGTGCGGCTCAAGTCCTGGCTCCCCGGACTCCCATCCAGCCTGCTGCTAGTGCGCATTCTGGGAGGCAGCCGGGAAGGGCAGGTACTCGAGTCCCTGCCCCCCATGTGGGAGAGCCGGATGTCGTTCTGGACTCCTGGGTTCTGCCTGGCCAAGTCCCAGCTGTTGTGGGCATTCAGGGAGTGAACTAGTGATGGAAGATCTGTGTGTGTGTGTGTGTGTGTGTGTGTGTGACTCTCTTTCAAATAAAAAGTAAATGTTTTAAAAGACCCCTTGAAAAATAGTAAAATTCTTTCAAACTGTTTAAATCCATGCATAGTTTCTCAGTAATACACACTTTCCATGAACTCTTTGCAGACACAACGCCCGTCCCTGCACCCCCAGCAGGTACAGCTCCCTCAGTTTGTAGCTGAGAAACAAACACCCAGAAAGGGTGAAGGAGAAACCCATTCTCTCATCGCTGGGCGTAGGAGGCAGAGTGGGGTTTAGACCTCATGCCTGGCTCGTGGCTTTGCATAGGCCTCCCTGGCTGTGATGACGGGGGAGTCCAGTTGTCACCAGGAGTGAGCCAGCTGTCCACCTCCCAGTGCTGGCCACTGGTGAACTACTGCAGGGTGGGTTTTTGCTAGGGATTTTACAGATCGTTGTTTTAAATCCTCTCAATACGCCTTTTTTTTTTTGACAGGCAGAGTGGACAGTGAGAGAGAGAGACAGAGAGAAAGGTCTTCCTTTTTGCCGTTGGTTCACCCTCCAATGGCCGCTGTGGCTGGCGCGCTGCTGCCGGCGCACCGCGCTGATCCGAAGGCAGGAGCCAGGTGCTTCTCCTGGTCTCCCATGGGGTGCAGGACCCAAGCACTTGGGCCATCCTCCACTGCACTCCCTGGCCACAGCAGAGAGCTGGCCTGGAAGAGGGGCAACCGGGACAGAATCCGGTGCCCCGACCGGGACTAGAACCCAGTGTGCCGGTGCCTCAAGGCGGAGGATTAGCCTAGTGAGCCACAGTGCTGGCCACGCCTTTGAGAACTTTCTTCTAAGGGACAAGGAAACAGAGATGCAGAGGCATGAAGTCATGTCCAGTGTCAAGAGCTAACAGGACAGTGTCTCACCCACTCTCTCTGGCTTCTGAGAGCAAGTAGTTTCCATCAGCAGCCCCCGGAGGCCCAGTCGTCTGCACCCAGAGACCCCCTGCCCCCTTGCCAGGGGGAGACCACTGGCCACTTGCACTTCCCTGACAGGCCGGGGGGCGGTGCCTGCTGAGATGTCCATGGCGGTGTGGAGCTTGTTTGCCTGGGCTGATTGCTCTGTTGGCCTGTGAGGGTGCGAGCGGGTGAGATGGGTGCAGCAGTCAGCAGACCAGTAGAGCAGGTGGCCCTCCCTAGTGTGGGTGGACCTGGGCCAATCAGTTGAAAGCCCAAAGAGCTCTGAACTCTTAGGTTTCCCCTATAATTGGCGATCCAGGCAGAGACTTTTCACAGTGCGCACGTTCCCTAAGAACCCTGCTTGTGTCTGCATTGCTGTAGTTCTGCTAGTACAGCATTTGGGTGGGCTTGCCTACGCGGCAACTTCTCCTATCCCTCTGTTTTCAACACTTCTCTTTCTTTCAGGACTGGCTGGTAGCCAATAGCTAGCTGCCTTTTGAAAGAGGGCAACCTGAGCCTAAGGAGAGCAAACAGGTTTTGGAGGTTGACCACTCTGTGCGTTCTCCGCCGCCATCTTCCGGTTCACCAACTCCCTTTATAGCCAGCCCTCTGGGGTTTATCCCCACTACGGAACTTTGTAAATCGCAGTGACCAGCCGCTTTGTCCTTTTCATCCAGGATCTTGAAATGATTGCTTTTCATGACCACCTGTGCATTTTTTTCTTCACCTCTACCTGGTTCAAGTCCTTAACTTCCTGTGGCTTTTTTTTAAATCTCTATTACTCCTTCCTCGGACTCTTTTTTTTTTTTAAGATTTATTTATTTATTTGAAAGTCAGAGTTACACAGAGAGAGGAGAGGCAGAGAGAGAGAGGTCTTCCATCTGATGGTTCACTCCCCAATTGGCCGCAACGGCCAGAGCTGCACCAATCCGAAGCCAGGAGCTTCTTCCAGGTCTCCCACATGGGTGCAGGGGCCCAAGGACATGGGCCATCTTCTACTGCTTTCCCAGGCCACAGCAGAGAGCTGGACAGGAAGTGGAGCAGCTAGGTCTCGAACCAGCGTCCATATGGGATGCCAGTGCTCCAGGCCAGGGTGTTAACCCGCTGCACCACAGCACCTGTCCTTGAACTCTTTTTTTTTTAAAGATTTATTTTATTTATTTGAAAGTCAGAGTTACACAGAGGGAGAAAGAGAGGCAGAGAGAGAGAGAGAGAGAGAGAGAGAGAGGTCTTCCGTCTGCTTGTTCACTTCCCAACTGGCCACAATGGTCAGAGCTGCGCCGATCCGAAGGTAGGAGCCAGGAGCTTCCTCCAGGTCTCCCAAGTGGGTGCAGGAGCCCAAGGACTTGGGCCATCCTCCACTGCCTTCCCAGGCCATAGCAGAGAGCTGGATCAGAAATGGAGCAGCCAGGACTCGAACCGGCGCCCATACGAGATGCCGGCACTGCAGGCAGCAGCTCTACCCTCTGCGCCACAGTGCTGGCCCCCTTCCTTGAACTCTTAGATGATGTTCAGCACAGTGATTTTGAGAAGAGTTTTCACACTGCACCATTG